ACCGTTAAAGTTTTTAATTTAAATCTTCTTTCTAAGGTTTTTTATATTCATTGACTAAGTTTTGACGTAGTATATACTTATTCTTCTCGAAGTAAATATAGCTTTTCACCTGCCGTCTCTTTTATTCATATTTTGAATATTATCTATATCTATAGACAGTGGCGTAACTATACCGTTCGAGGCCCGTGGCAAATACATCGAATATCCACTTCCCTAATATATAAAGAAGCTGTACCAACAATTGAGATTTCCTCTGACCGAGGGCCCCTTCGGGCCGGGGGCCCGTGACATTTTGCCGACTTGCCACCCTATAATTTCGCCACTGTCTATAGATCTCATAAAACGATATGGAAAAACGAATAAGCGAAAAAGCGAGATGTAGGTACTCCCATTATTTGTGTGGTTGTCTTGTAATAAGGCGATATTTTTCCAACGATACAAATAATTCTATTTGTACCCACGACTTCGTTCGCGTAGAATAGTTTATTTGGACATATGCTAACGCTAATGCAAAAACAACCTCAACTGTATTATAAATATCTGTTACCGGCGAAATCGTCCGCGACTCATCATTTTAAAATAAATAAATTACATCTTATACCGATTGTTATAACCGATGTGTGTTAAATCCGAACGGATATTAAGTGTTACAGTTGTTTTAAATGAAATATATAAATTAAAAATCGATAATACATTAAAAAAAAAACGTCTCGGGCAGGACTTCAACCGCCATCCACAGTGTTCCGTTTAGAGAAACACCACGGTCAATTCCTATAGTGATATAATGTGCAATAACCTTAAAATTTTATATATAAGTAGACAACGAAGTTATAAAATTATTATTTTTTATAATGATATTATCACTTGTTATTGTCAGAAAGTAATTATTTTCTCGTAATTAAAAATTTGTTTTTCGTGAACTAATGGAATAAATGGAAATGAGAAAATATACATTATAATGGCATAATTACTTTCTTATCTAGTAAAGATATTATTTATTTATATTAAACCTACATCGTTTCACTTGGTTGCAGTTTTTTTTATTCTAAACTGAATTTGGAATGCTAGTCTACTTCAATACATATTTATTATTCCTTAAAATGTTAAGAATATAGCCTGCAAGCCCCGGGCAGGTTTGTAAGACTTCTTACTTCAAAAAAATTGGTGCAAACCATCATTTACCCAAAACTAACAAAATTTGCTGTGTTTGTTCAGATGAGAATAAATAATCAAAAAGGTACATACGTGATTATATTATAAAGTAAGTACTCAGCTTATGCTGAAGCATATTGTGGTATGCAACTGCGCTGATTTTCAGTGACCTCCGCCGCTTAGAGCGTTTGACAGCAACATATTATTATTTTCTTTCGTAAAAAGTACTAATTTGGTTTTATCAGGATTGAGATTCAGACTCTCAGCAACATATTAATAAATAGAAAGAAAACGAAATAATTATCACAAGATCATTAGCTTTCACATCTATAGACACATTTTAATCTATTCCTTAGGGTGCTAATCTTATATCAGGTAATTAAACTTTTTTGTAGTAATCGATTTGCAAATTTAAATTGCAATAAATATCTTGACATGAACCATTTCGCGGCACTTTTGACCCCTCTATAACGTTAAACCTTTAAATGATCTACGAACACGAAACGAATCGCTATGTCTATCTTTTAAGATTAACTCGCAAGAACGACGGAAAGGGACGCGATGTCGGGTAACAGTCGTGCAAACCCCCTTCATGTAACTAGATATAGACGTATTTTTAATAATATATTGAATCTACTTAACATTAAGTGTTTGGGTCATGACAATCGGTTCATAAATAAAAAAAATAGGGTATGAGAACCGCGTTGTTGTTTTGTGTTGCATTTGGGTTGCGCACGGCATTAAATAAAGTTAATTAATGCTGCATAAACTCTCTAATTCACGCAGACGAAATCGTGGGCCTAGCAAATAAATAATTTCCATCGTTTTGGCAATATTAAGGAAAGTCCATTTATGGCACATTGACAAGCAACGTAACCCGAAAGCCTTCTATCTTCTTCTGTCTTTTTAATTTCGCATTCAAGTATTAAAGCATGACATGCAATGTTCAGATTAGTACTTAATAAGCGACAGTCTTTTGTTAGCTTATCTAGAATAGTTTGTTGAAAATAACATTTATTCCTGCAATATTGACTTGCACCAGAATAGTCCTTTTTAGGCTCTCAGCTTGGATCATCTATACAAGACACAAAAAGCGTCGCTCGATCTCTAATTCTATGAGTAGATCGTAAATCGTGATCTATCTTCTAACGTAGATCATAATCGTTATATACGTTCTTTAAGAAATCTTTTCCTAAAGACTCGAAAGAAGAATCCTTCCTAATTTTATAGCCGAACGGACAAACTAAACCATATAAATGATTGTAAAGATCGTAAATATTTTAATACAAAAGAACGGTTGAAAAAAAATATAAAAGAAACAGAATATAATAGGGTGTAAAGTTAACTATTAAAGAAATCCAGTTACCACCAGTGGGATTTGAGGTGAAGACATAGTAAGATAAGAAGTATGTATAGCTGTACTTTGTACGTATTGGAATATCATTGTCTTTCGGGCCGTTTGGCCGATGTGAGCGAGAAGAGGTTCTCGCCGTTTCGCCATCACGTGTGGACGGCATCATCAGGAGACGTTAACTCCTCGATTGCTCGAAGAATTTAATTCTTCGAGCAATCGAGAAAAATGCTAAAAGTAACATATAAATAACAGTATATCTAGAAACTGCATGTATCACAATTTGTATGAGTCAGTTTTCTTGATTGTCTATATATACTAACCAATTATTCAGAGGATCATGCCAGAATCTTCTTATTGTCAAAAAATTATAATAATAATTTGTCGAGTCGTAATTTTTTTCAATTTTTAATTTATATAGTGCCATGATCTACATTAAAGTCTTACAGATATTCGACAATTAAGAAGCATGTTACTATTTAAATAAAAAATGAACATTCTAGAAATTTACGTATTTTTTATTGCCTCACATGAGTAAATATAAAAATGTCATAACACATATTCTCTAGCATTTTTAGAAGCTTTATTTCTAGCTGTTTATATTCAAAGATGTTCTTTATGCATATCAGAATAATCAATTATGTTTAAATACAACACTTTAACGGTTTAAAATGCGTGTATTAGTTAAACTTATTTGAAAATGATTTTTAACTTAGGCCCGACGTGTTGGATGCTTTGCAGCATTTTTTTGGGAAATTTAAATTAAACTTTCGGGCTGTTCGGTCGACGTGAGCGAGAAGAGGTTGCCGACGTTTCGCCATCACGTGTGGACGGTATCATCAGGAGATGTTAACCCCTCGATTGCTCGAAGAACGAATTAATTGGCCTTGCCTAGCGCCTTGCACGCCTTGTCTATCTGCTGTATCAAGTGATCTCAATGCTTGTCTGTTCTCGTATATTTAAAAGTTTCTAATCAAAAATACTTACTTAAGCAGAACTTCATTTTTGATTAGAAAAACTTAAACCATCAATCGGCGTACGATCTAAAAGGATGTTCGTTATTTAAAGAAATACTTTCTCTATATTTGTTTCCAGTACAAGCCCGAACTATTCAATACACAAAAACAATTAATTTCCATTGCAGATTCTTATCATTGTAGTTATAAGATCAAAGAATTAACGATGGAATAAAAATTCGGGTGATGTGGTGAAATGGTTGGCAGACAGTGTGGAAAGATCACCCGGCCTTCGGTGTCGCCAATAGAAAATAATAGTACTTATAATACCTTGACGAACCTAATTACAAACGGGGAAAATTATTTATCCTTGTGGGTTTTCGTTGTGTACGGTACGTAAACGGTTTAAGATACCCGAAAAATACATATTAATGAATGCTTGCTGTTTATATGTTCTAAAAAATGTCCGCAAGAGTATATGTCTATCCTTTGAGATTGACTCGCAAGAACGATGTGACGTGGATAACGTCACTCTAATTTATAAAGATGTGGATGAGGTTTGCAAAAACAAATTTTGTCTAATTCGCTAACACAGCTAGTTTTAACTATAGATTAACTAAGTCCCGACGTTTTAAATGCTTTGCAGCAATTGTGGTCTCGGGGAGATGTTGCTTCATCTTAACTTCGGGCCTTAATTAATTTCAATTTAAAATAACTTGACTAATTGATTTCGCGTTTGAAACCGTTAAAAGTGTCTTATTTAAATGTTTACTACTCGTGTAAACTAATGACGATAATTGACTGTTTTGCCTATTTTTTATTAGGTATTTCAAGTCTTTATTTAAATAGGAGACGTAATTTATGTCTTATTTTTTTTGGCTATACGAACCTCATAACAAATAATTGTAAATTTATTTTGCAAATCGTTTTTCTTATCGAATAAGCGGAAATTAAATTTTTTTCGTTAATAACATTTTTATTTTCAAAAATAACAATCGTGTGCAAAAGTTTTGCGATAAGAGGTTTTTTTATTTACACATCTTTTAGTATATAGAGCGAAACATATTTCAAAGCAGCCTTATAGATCGCTGAAGCGTGCATCTAAACATCATACCGAAAGCCTGGCTTCTATTTTCGTCAACAATGAAATTTTTCCTGCGTAAGTATATAAGTTAAGTTTCGTTGCTGATTTTCTGCATTTCTAAAGAGATTAAGAGGATAGACAAGCGAGAGGTTCACTTTATGAAAGGTGAAATACCAAGCCTATTTGGAAATCCACGTGCTGAAACCGAAACCTTCACGGCTTTTTCATCTGTGGACTGGTTCTTAAACCGGACGGAATTCTCCCATTCCCACCACCCATTTAATATTCAGATTTCCGGACAAAGTCCAGAACCCACCACCCCTTTAGCTACTAATAGCTAAAAGGGTGGTGGGTATCCACCGACGAGCCCGGAAAAAACACGTGTATCTAAGAGTTACGATAATTTTTAAATAATTGTGTTTAAAATTAAAATACATACATTATTATTTCAGTTTTTATGTTCTTCATCACCCTGGTGTGTGCTACCCCAGGGGCCAGGCAGCTTTCGCAAGAAGATGCGCAAATGCAACAAGGAAGGCAAACGCAAGAAGATAGGCAAATGCAACAAGGAAGGCAAGCGCAACAGGGAAGGCAAACGCAACAAGATGCGCAAATGCAACAGGGAAAGCAAACGCAAGAAGATAGGCAAATGAATGAAGATAGGCAAACGCAAGGAAGGCAAGCGCAACAGGGAAGGCAAACGCAACAAGATGCGCAAACGCAACAGGGAAGGCAAACGCAAGAAGATAGGCAAATGAATGAAGATAGGCAAATGAATGAAGATAGGCAAACGCAAGGAAGGCAAGCGCAACAGGGAAGGCAAACGCAAGAAGATAGGCAAACTCAAGGAAGGCAAACGCAAGAAGATAGGCAAACTCAAGGAAGGCAAGCGCAACAGGGAAGGCAAACGCAAGAAGATAGGCAAACTCAAGGAAGACAAGCGCAACAGGGAAGGCAAACGCAAGAAGATAGGCAAACGCAAGGAAGGCAAGCGCAACAGGGAAGGCAAACGCAAGAAGATAGGCAAACGCAAGGAAGGCAAGCGCAACAGGGAAGGCAAACGCAACAAAAGTAACCTTCACAAGCCACTTGAGAAAGATCCGCTTTGAAGGATGTTACCTCAAACTAAGGGTCGTACATAGCTGTTATTTATATAAAGCATTATATGTTTGAATAAATATATCAGTTTTTATTTTATAATTTACTTGCTGATCCCACGACCCATCCTGTCAACCTTACGACTTGATCTCAAAAGATAGACGTATGTATTGTCGCGAACATTTTTTGAGTTCGTTTTAAAATCATTTTTTATACATATTTTATATATAGCACGCAACGAAAGCCATCAAAGATGAATATTTCTTTTCTTTTTTCATTTTCCACTATTTCTTTAACATAAAAACAATTTCCTGAGATTAGCACATTCAAACAAACAGACAAACTCTTCAGTTCAGTTCAGTTCACTCTTTATAATACATATATAGACTACTTGTATTAGTGACTTCGTCCGCGTAGAATAGTAATTTTTGTTAATCCAAATTTGTTTTTTCAAACCTCCTTTTCATCTTAATAAATTTAAGTATTACTTACGACAACGGACGCGTCCCGTCGTTCTTGCAAGTAAATCTTAATTTAGATTTTTTGGGTAGTACATATTTTTTGGGTATCTTGAACCGTGTTCGTATCGTACGCAACGGAAACCCACTAGGATGAATAATTTTCCCACTTTCTTCTATATTTTCAGCTGTTTCTTCGCTCCTATTAGTCACAACGCGATTTTATAGTCTTTTATAACCTTCCTCGATAAGTGCTCTAACCAACACAAAAATAATTTTTCGTCTCAGGAACCTGAGATGAGCGCGTTCAAACAAACAAACAAACTCTTCGGCTTTTTATATTAGTATAGGATAAAATTTGTCGTTACTTCAATTTTAGTCTGTGATGAAGCCACAGAGTATAATTTTAGCACGAATAAACGAACTGGATAAAAAAAACAAAAAAGAACAGAAATACATCTGCTTCATTAACCAATAGCCCTATGGGGATAAAGATATAATGCAAAACATTAAAACCTGTTAAAGCGTGCTTTTGAATGTATGTATGATCGATAAGGAAAAACGTAATCGTTTTCCTGTTCTGCAAAGATACTAACATAAAATCTAGTCTGTCCTTTTATAAAATAGATATTTTGACGATCACGTCTTAAATATTTATAGCATTCTACTTGCATAGCCATGCAATTTTGGGTCATTACAAAAGTACTATAATTTTAATGCAAATTCTACTATACAAATTTCCAAATAGCTGCGCCCGCGACGTCGTCCGCGTCGAATAGTGACTTGGGGTAGAATTCTTAATTATTTAGGCTGTTTATTAATTTCTGTATGGGCGCATTTAAGGCAGCCAATCTATGTTGTAAGTGCTACTTTGCCGCAACACTCTCGCCTCACATGACTCCTACTCTCATTCCTAGACTCACTCCCACTCCCACTCATATTCCCAAAAATCCAAAGAAGAAAGTTTCATTGTTTTAGCTTCAAAAACCACAAATTTCCATACAAACTTTTCAACCCCTATCAACCCTTTTTGGCATTAAAAAGCCTTTGTCCAAATATCTGTGACCCAAATTTCATTTATATCAGTTCAGTAGTTTCGGAGTTAAAGCCGGGCAACCAGTAAGGCAGACAGACATACAGAGTTACTTTCGCATTTATAATGTTATAGTATAGATTATTACTTCTTTAAATAATAAAATAAAGATGTAACTAATTATGATAAGGAAATTGATGGTGACGTAATTATTTAGTCAAATCAAATCCCGTTTTCCACCAAGGGCATGTGCGCACATATTAGTGTGTCCGTTTCAATGGTCTGTTTTTATAGGCTAGTAGTGAATTAGATTTCTGGGTTTTAACAGACCGAAACAGTTTATGGCTAATCGTGTTTCGATCCCGGGACATCTCTTAACGCAGTGCGATCCATCCATTGTACAAATGAGAATCTTAAAATAACATTGTTTTTCTTAATTAATTCTGAATTAGAAATACCGCGAGAGGTGCAATGGCTTAAAAACATTCGACAATTACTTGTAGAACACGGTAACTCAGTTGGTTAGAGCAAAAGCACGGAACGCTGCGGATGCCAGTTCAAGTCCTGTCCGTGTCCTAATCTTTATTTTTCTCTTTTGTGATTTAATCTTAAAAGATAGACTTTTACTGTCGCGGACATTATTAAGACAATTTGAAGAGAAATCATTGTATCTTACTATTTTTTTTATTTTTTGAACCGTTTTCGCATAGCACTCATAATAAATCACTCAAAAATAAATAATTTTCTCTATTTTTCTACAATTTCCATCTATCCCTTCTTTTCTATTGGTCGTTTTGGCCGTCACAAAAAGAATTTTTCAAATCGAACCAGTTAGTGGTTCTTGAGGTTAGCGTGTTCAAACAAACTCTTTAGCTAATATCATATGTATAGATTGGTATCATTTGACCATTTGTAACTCAAGAATGCTTCGATCGATTGAAGTAGAAATTCTTTATAATACTATTAATTTATGAGAGAAGCAACTTCGCAGGACGCAGTTACACATAAGTTATTTTAGTGGTCAGCAGGTGAGTACATCGGTATAAATATGGAGTAAAGTCCCTACATGATCTTGTCAATGTAAAACTACGCAAAGTAAACGTGGGAAGGACACAATGAAGTTACTTTTATGTAAGTCCGCCTTCTTGAACTATTTTCGTAATTTTAGAGGTGGATAGACAAACATGGAGTTCAATTGATGGTATGTAATATACCCCTAAACAAAATGCGCTATCGAAGTTTTGGCTTTCTATATTCGAAAATCCACAGACTAAAACCGCGAAACGCGATTAACCTTCCCAGCAATTTCATCTGTGGACGGTGGTTCGGGACCCGGGCGGAATTTTTATATTCCTACCATCCATTAAATATCCAGATTTTCAGACAAAGTCCAACATTTGAAACTTTATTATTTTTTACATGTTATTGCACATGATGACACTAATTATATAATTTAAAAATCGAAAATGAATTGAAAAAAAAAATCGACTCGGGCAGGACTTGAACTGGCATCGTCAGAGTTCCGTGCTGTTGCTCTGGAACGCTGACGATGCCAGTTCAAAGTCCAATATGTTTTAGAAAAAATATTAATTGAGAAACTAGACAAATTCAAATAGTTTTACTTTAACGGTTTAAAACGCGATACGTTTCTCTCCGTGACCACGACTCCTGCAAAGCATCCGAAAGGTCAGACCGTAGAACTAAAATATATCGCGTTTTTAACCGTTAAAGTGTTTTATTTAAATGTGTACTACTCGCGTAAACTACAGAGAGTATTTAAACTAGAAACATGTCGAAACCGCGCAGGGATCAAACTCGCGACTTTTTGATTATAAGCCACACATTGCTGCCATTAGACCAACGAAGCACTTTTCAATTTTAACTATTCAATATATTTGCGAATTGTATGTATTTTAAACTGTCATATCTATTTTGAGCGTGATACAATGCAATTCTCAACTAAGTGTGAGTCGGTTTGGCACGAATTTATAGCTTAAGTCGACATAATTCGAGATATAAGTCGGTATACATCATTTTGTTAAGCATTGCCTTTCTGAGCTAAAAAATGTGGTAGTTCGAATAAATATACCGTATTTCACTTCTGCTCTAAAAATGTACAGACAAGAAAAGAAAAGAAAACTGTTGTTAAGGCTATCACGCTATATATAAAACTCTCTTCAATTATCCCAACATATAACGATATTGACCGCCTCTGTAGCTTAATGGTTAAACGTTAAGCGCGAGAGGTTCTGGTTCGTATTCCGGGGCAACAATAAATTGCTTGATAGGCACAGAAGGCTTACTTGCCTCTAAATAAAACAAATCAGTGAAACAGTGAGAAAAATGCGTTCGCCCCATGCCCCACGGGCAAGGACGTGATTTCACTCCATATTACGATAATATTCTTATTACTTTTTATTTTAACATTAGTATTTTTAAGTGTCGATGTAAATATGTTTGTGCAATAAAGAGTTTTATAAGTACATATTATTATTACTGTCGTGGAGATACCTAAATATTCAAATTATAAATAATTAATAAATTAACTTAATATCGTTTTTTCAGTAATAACGATGATTCTATCGGTTTTCTGTTGGACCGCGCATGCGCAACGCGGAGGCTGTATTTGTCCTGCTGTTTATGACGCGGTCTGTGGGAATAATAGAAAGACGTATAGCAATAGCTGCCGGTAAGTACAAAAGACATAAACGCCACCATGATAAAAAAATCAGTACATTTAATTTTGAAAAGGACGTCATTACGAATTTCCAAGAATGAATCCAAAGATAAGTTTCAATTGTTTTATGATAGAGAGAGACAGGGAAGCAAGAGGTTCATTGGACGGTACGTGAAATAGCATATAGTATCGCTATCGCTGTCGACCTACTTTGGATATTCGGAAATGCACGGACTGAAAACGAAACGCGATTAAAGTTGACTGCCTTTTTATCGATTCGATATTCCTACCATCCATTTAATATCTAGATTTCTCCGCGAAGTCTAACACTTTTATTAACACTATATGCATTTATGTATGTTGCATTCTATCACCTAAACTTCAATCTATTTTGAATAGCAGTCAAACATGAAAACACGGCTTCACAGTCTGAGATCATGGTCGCTGCAAAGCACCCGAAACATCGGGTCGTAGTTAATATATAACAACTAATATATCGCATTTTAAACCGTTACTTTTTTTAATGTCATTTATACAATTATAGTTCAAAATAAGTCTGCAGTTTACTCGATTACATTAAATAAAACTCTTTTAACGGATTAAAACAAGCAGTTTTAAACGTTAAAATGAATTTTAAAACTTTAGTTTTATATTTAGAGTTTTGAAACTTTTATGAAAATGTTTTAATAACAGGTAAAACTTTAACTACGAAATTGCGATATAATTATCGACTATACTTAACTATGCTTTGTTGAAAGATACATGTGGGAATGTGAAAAGGAAGCCACATTCGCTGATTAAATAGATAA